ACAGTGACTACACTGAATGGGGTGAATTCCGTGAACGGTGCTACTGCGCTAGCCAACAGAACAAAGAAAATATATATCGTGAGACGCTTGCATGAGACAACAAGGAGCAAACGCTGGCAAATGCAGACCCAAAATGCTATTGGTTAAATTATGACAAATTGTCCTCTAATTATGACAGGATTTCATTTATTCCACCATTGTCGTACGTTCATCAATTTGCAGAAACGGTATGGGTCAGTGACTAAAATTGGGACCCTCTTGCATAATGGCAGATTTGTAATTATCGTGTTTACTTACCATTTCCCATGCATTAGGGTTCGAACACTCAGACACTTATTCGGACTCTTTTGCATGATGGCAGATATGTAATTATTGTGTTTACTTACCATTTCCTATGCATTAGGGTTCGAACACTCGGACACTTATTCGGACCCTCTTGCATAATGGCAGATATGTAATTGTTCTGTTTACTTACCATTTCTCATGCATTACGGTTCGAACACTCGAACACTTATTCGGACCCTCTTGCATGATGGCAGATATGTAATTATCGTGTTTACTTACTATTTCTCATGCACTAGGGTTCGAACACTCGGACACTTATTCGGACCCTCTTGCATGATGGCAGATATGTAATTATGGTGTTTACTTACCATTTCTCATGCATTATGGTTCGAACACTCGGACATTTATTCGGACCCTCTGGCATGATGACAGATATGTAATTATCGTGTTTACTTACCATTTCTCAAACATTAGGCTTTGAACACTCGGACACTTAGTCGGACCCCCTTGCATGATGGCAGATATGTAATTATGGTGTTTACTTACCATTTTTCATGCATTATGGTTCGAACACTTGAACACTTGCTCAGACCCTCTTGCATGATGGTAGATATGTAATTATCGTGTTGACTAACCATTTCTCATGCATTAGGGTTCGAACATCCGGACACTTATACAGACCCTCTTGCCTGATGGCAGATATGTAATTATGGTGTTTGCTAGTCATTTCTCGTGCATTACGGTTCGAAAACTCAGACACTTCTTCGGACCCTCCTGCATAATGGCAGATATGTAATTATCGTGTTTACTAACAATTTCTCATCCATTAGGCTTCGAACACTCGGACTCTTATTCGAACCCTCTTGCATGATGGCCGATATGTAATTATGGTGTTTACTTATCATTTTTTATGCATTATGGTTCAAACTCTCGGAAACTGATTCGGACCCTCTTGCATGATGGCAGATATGTAATTATCGTGTTTACTTGCAATCTCTCATGCATTAGGGTTCGAACACTCGGACACTTATTCAGACCCTCTTCAATGATCGCAGATATGTAATCATCATATTTACTTACCATTTCTCATGCATTAGGATTCGAACAATCGGACACTTATTCGGACCCTCTTGCATGATGGCAAATATGTAATTATGGTGTTTACTTACCGTTTCTCATACATTAGACTTCGAACACTCGGACACTTATTCGAACCCTCTTACATGATGGCCGATACATAATTGTGGTGCTTACAAAAATTTACGCGTTTGGTAACGTTTACGTTTTTGGTTTATGTTTACAAAAATTTTATAAACAAGTTTTTGTTTATTTTTAGAAAAACGTAAATTATAAATGCGTTCGGTTTGAACAAAGTGTTTAAAAAAATTTTAAAAAATAATTTAAAAAATATGTTTGTTCAGACCTAAAATATTTAAATTTATATTTATTGTTTATGACAATGGGATCGCACACAATATAAATGAAAAAAAAATTAATTGAAAAAAAAATAATTGAAAAAAATGAAAAAAAAAATTAAGTAAAAAAATAATTGAAAAAAAAATTTATTGGGAAAAAAAATATTTGAAAAAAATATTAATTGAAAAATATTAATTTAAAAAAAAATTAATCGAAAAAAATTTATGTGAAAAAAAATGAAAAAAAAATTAATTAAAAAAATAATTGAAACAAAATTTAATTGGGAAAAAAATATTTGAAAAAAAGATTAATTGAAAAAAAATAATTGAAAAAAAAATTGAAAATTGGAAACTGAAAATGTAAACTTATTTTTTGAGTTTACATTTTTTTTCTCAAATTTATAAACTGAGACAATCATTTATAAACCAAAAAGATTATCAATCAAGTTTTTATGACAGATTTTAAAATTTTTGTAAGTATAAACTGAAAAACGTTTACGTTTTCAGTTTATATTTACAAAAATTTTATAAACTGATTTTTGTGTATTTTTAGAAAAACATAAACTACAAGCGCGTTTGGTTTAGATAAAATGTTTAGAAAATTTTAAAAATATAAAAAAGAGTGAAAAATGGCAAGTGGTGGCAGGTGGTGGGTGGTGACGAGTCGTGGCGGCGGAAGACGGTACTGGAAAATGATGGCGGGTGGTGGTGGCGGCAGAAAACGGTGGTGGAAAATGGTGGCAGGTGGTGGGTGATAGTGGCAGAAGACGGTGGTGGAAAGTGGTGGCAAGTGGCGGGTGGGTGGTGGTAGCGGAAGACGGTAGTGGAAAGTGGTGGCAAGTGGCAGGTGGTGGTGGCGGCGGAAGACGGTGGTGGAAAGTGGTGACGGATGGGTGGATGGTGGTGGCAGGTGGGTGGTGGATAGCGGGTGGTGGCGGGTGGTGGTGGTGGGTGGGTGGGTGATGGTGGCGGGTGGTGGCGGCGGGCGGGGGGGGGGGGTGATGATGGCG